TCCCCCTCACTCTTCCCCCCGCCCCCGGGTGTGGGAGGTGCCTCCGTATCCAGCTGGTGAGCCCCCTTCGGTCCTCCTACAGAGGCCCCACGAGGCCCCAGGACACCCCAGTCACTCACAGCGCCCTCCAGCGGCTGGTAATAGGCGGTGAGGGTGAAGATGATCATGGCGCACAGATAGGAGACCACGTTGATGTAGAAGGAGACAGCCCCAAACTTGCGCCACTTGTCCCGAAGCAGTTCATTGATGGGTTCCACAGCCAGCATGTCATGGCGGTTCTGTGGGAGGCAGGGTGGTCGGGGGCTACCCTCCCGATGGGGGGCATCCAGACAGGCTGATTCCACCACACCCTTCCCCACCCTCTGCCCTGTGAGCACTCCTCCTTCTAACCCATTCTTCAGCGACACGCAAGGATTCACAGGGAACTAACTGCATGGGATGCAGGATCAACCCCAAAGTCCTGGGCTTGGCATTCAAGGCTCTGCCCAATTCTGCCCCAACTTGCCCTTCCAGCCTATTCTAGATTCAGAGAACCCAGAGCCAGAAAGCTCTTCTCATGGTCCCCAAACTCCAATCTGTGGATTGTATGGAGCAGCTGGTAGCAAAATTACCTATGTAGTTTGCCAAAAAATATAAATCCCTGGGTTTCAACCTCAGAACTTCCGATTCAGGAAGGAGGATTGGGAAATTTAGTTCAAGGATGATAAATACTTAAAGCCATAATTCACCAGTTCTGAACCCAGGGCAGGCATCAATACTTGAGCCCTGCACAATTAGTTCTCCATACAGTTCCCTGGGCAGACACTACCAATCAATCAGTTTGTACCAGAGATGCTAAATGACTTGCCACCCCCCCAATCTAAATTAACTGGTCACTAATTTCAAAAATGAGGGAAGTGAGCTCTCTTAAGGGAAGGCGTCTGTCCAGCTCACAGGGCCAGGGCTGGAAGGGAGACTGTGCAGCCAGGCTCTAGCATTTTCTGCCTCATTTGTGCAACAACATCCTCCTGTCTGTTTAACATCTTGAGTTTCTTTATAACCATGGATCTGTGCAACAATATAGCCACAAAGATCCTATTGCAGTATTATTCCTGGTAGTTAAGGCAGAAAAAAAATCCTCCAACGACCAGGAATAGAGGAATGGTTAATTAGAATGTGGTACATTTACATGCAGGAATGATACTGCCGAAGAATATTCAATGGTGCAGAACGATATTCACAAAATACTGCTAAGTATAAAAAGGAGCCTTCAAAACTTCATATAATGACTCCTAATGATGTTGGCTGATATATAATGTGTACTTTACCAAGCTTTTCAAAAATGAACTCACTTGATCTTCCCAGCAACCCTACGAGCTATGCACCATCCTTATCCCTGTGTTATAAAACAGGAAGCTGGGACTCAGAGGGGTTGGGTCACTTGTCCCGAGCCACACAGCATATAAGTTACAGAGCCAGGATCCTGTCCCTGAAGCCAGACCCTGACAATCCTTCATTTTCTTCCAGGGCCAGATGCTCCTCTGGACACTTAGTTGGCACCTTCTTTTGGACTTAGATGCACTGCTTTGGGCGTTAGAGGCCTGGGCTCCCCAGCCCAGCCCCAGGGTCCCTTCCCTCCTCCCCCAGGCCCCCGCCCTGGCGCCCAGCCCACCTCGATCTTGCTGTTGTACACCAGGATCTCCAGCACGGAGGCCTCCTCCCCACACGTGTCCAGGGAGGAGAGGTCATAGAGCGAGGAATACACTGGCCCATAGGCCCAGTCCTTGAACTTGCGGGAAAGGTGCCTTGTGTCCTCGTCCGTCACCTCCCGACGAATGATGTGCTGAAAGACCTGCATGGGAGAGGGGGGAGTCGGGGGTCCCTCACATCCGAGGGTCCCCAGTGAGGCTGGGCGCAGCCCATCAGATGGCACCAGAGAGCAGGATAGTGGCCGGGCTGGAATATTTACTGAGCGGCTGCTGCATGCGGGACTCTTTGCTCACATCCTCTAAATTTTACTTTAGTCTTGGGTTACAGACGAGCAAAGGGTGGCTGGGAGAAGAGGGGTGTTCCTTGAGGCCACACAAGCAGACTGCTGAAGCCAGGCTCAGGCCAGGCCAGCCTTAAAAACCCAAACTACAACAAATGTCGACTTCATGTAATTAAAACAGCAACTAATCAATCCTATGGATATGTTCATTCTGGAGATAGTTATCTTATTTGGCCCTTCCTGTGATTGCTCTCCCACTGTCTGCACAGAGCAGCTGAGGAGCAGAGAGGGCTGGGAACGGCCCAGGGCTGTGTGGCTCAGGAGGGCAGACCTGGAACGTGAACCCAGGCCTTTGCTGTGCCTCGGGACTCCACTATAACTGCAATGCTAGTAATTTTGCTGTATCTTTTATAGAGCAGTGATCACCCTTCCTCTTTACTGAGCCCTTGGGGTCCGTCCCAGGGTCTTCATCAAGAGCTGGAAGGAGATCACCATCTAGTTGTCAGATGACCCTCCACCACAGGACACTAATATTATCCCCATTTTATAGATGAGGAAACTGAGGCACAGAGCGGAGCAGGGAGATGTCTGTGACCACATGATAGGAAGGGGTGGAGCCAGGCTTCAGACCCAGGCTCCTGACTCCAGAGCATCCAGGTTTGGTTCTTAGTCAGGGCAATGGTACCCCCCAGGGGAAAATGCGTGGAGGCATTTTGGGGTGTCACCATGGTGGGGGAATTGCTAGCATCCAGTGAGCTAAGGCCGCGGATGCAGCTAACATCTCACAATGCTCCGGACAGCCCCACGCCCCAGAACCAGTCCAAATGTCAATAGCACCCAGGCTGAGGAAGACTGTTCTAGCCCTGTGCTGGGAGGCTGGAGAGGAAAGGAACTGGCGCAGGACCCCAGCAGTGGAAAACAGGGGAGTACTCAGGGCTAGAGCCCTGGGACTCAGTTTTCTACCAGCGGCTTGTCCTGGATGGCAGAGTGGGGCAGTGAGCATCCTGAGGGGTGTGAGGACAGTGGCTTTGGGATGAAGTTGAGTAGCTTGGCTGGACAATAGGGAGCCATAGCAGGTTCTTGAGCTAAGACATCTGTACTCTGGGGTTGGCATGATGAGTGGTTAGAGGGTACATTAATAATAATGAATGTCAACAGCAGCCCCTCTGTGTGTGTGTGTGTGTGTGTGCACAGGACAAACGTGTATAGGCAGTGCCCCCTGGCCCCACACTCACCCCAATCTTGCCCGTCTTGGCAGCCATCATGAGGGGCGAGAGACCATCATTATTGAGCACAGCCTCTAGGTTGCTGTCGGGGAAGAGGCGAGCGCATTTGAGCAGCAGCAGGTCGTACATCTTGGTGACGAACTTGGTGTTCTCGCGCGTGTTGTCGGCGATGGCCACCAGCGCGTGCAGCACCGTGTTGCCGCGGGAGTCCTGCCGCCGCATGTCCGCCTTCTTGTGCGGGTTCTCAGTCAGGTAGTTGACGATGTGCGGCTGGTTGGTGCAGGCAGCCAGGGACAGGGGCAGCTCACCTGCAGGCCAGAGTGGGTGCGGGGCAGTCAGTGCAGGGCCCTGGGGCTGTGCCTGTGGGTACCCAGTGACACAGCCCTGCAGTCAGTGGCCTGTGGCAGCCACACTGCTCTGCGGGCTGTGCAGGGGACATGTTTGGGCGTGTGGCCATGTGATTTGGAGACGGAGGGATTCTTTGAGGGACTCTGCCCCTGAATCCCAAATAACATGTGCCTTTAAGCAGGGGTGACATTCAGCATGTCCCATTGGTACAACTGGGACACGGCAGTAATGGGGTTTGGGCCCAGCAATCCGACCACTAGGCCCAGTGTAAATTGGACTAAAAGATGATATCACCACGTGATAAGGTGCAGGGTGCTGATACCCCATCACAACCTTTAGGGTTCTCATGATCCCCCTTGTACAGATGGAGAAGTTAGGGCTCAGGGAAGGGAGGTGAGCCTATTTCTCAATGTGCAGCCTGTGTACAGGGCGCCATCAGGTCCCAAGGCCAGGGTGGCTCTGGGCGTCTGGGGAGGGGCTGGGGCTGCAGACACCTCCATGTCCTCCCAGCCCCCAGCTCCTCCCCCATGCGCCCCAGTGCCCACTGGGCCCCTCCTCACCAAAGTAGAAGTAGCCTCCCTCATCCTTGGGCTGGAAGAAGCGGCCCCTGGCCTGGGCGTGGACATCAGCTCCCTGGGTCACAAGCAGCTCCACATAGTGTTTGCAGCGTCGCTCAATGGCAATGTGCAGGGCGGTCTGACCTGGGGCGGGGTGGGAGGACAGTGAGCCCAGACAGAGGCCAGACCAGGCTTGAGGGCAGTGGGGTGCCAAGCATGGACATCGGTGGGGGCTGCAGGCCAGAGCCTCGGCCGGTCCCACCCGGCGGCACCAACTGGCCCTGCAGACACTCCCCTGCTGTGGAGCTGCTGTTGGAGGCCTGGATCTGCCGCACCAAGCAAGCAGCTTTAGGCTCAGAGGAGATCCAGCTTGTAGGACCCCAGATCTTACTTCTCAGACTCACAAGAGCTTTTAATCCTAGAGGAACAACAGCAATCTGGTCTCAAAGAACTTTGGACTCGGGATATAAAATCCACAAACTTCGAATCTTCATACCCAGCGGTCTGAAAGGTCAAGTCAAGTCTGATTCTAGAATTTCAGACTTCTCATCTGAGAGCTGGGACTGGTGACACCTTTGCCTTTTAGCGCTGTTGGCTCATAAAGCTTATGATAAGGCCCTAGGGCATCGGGAACCACAGCGTCTCCAGCCCAGAAGTCCAAATTCATGGACCACTAGACTGATCGCTTCTAGAATCTTGGAATACTCAAGTTGGAAGGCGTTACTGTTCTTGCATTCCTACCACTGTTTCCTGGATACATGCCCGCACTCGGGGGGTCAGACCAGCAAGGACAGTGCCCCACCGCCACCCCACGTGACTCCCGGGGCCCCACCTCGGTAGTAGATGTCCCTGAAGGGCGAGTTGATGAACTCGCGCGTGTTACCCGTGCGCTCCGCGACATCCAGGAGCACGGGGATGGTGTCGTTGCGGCCATTGCTCAGATTCAGCAGGGCCTTTGGAAGGCAGGTCTTCCCGGTGGACGGCTCTGGGGGGAGAGAGAGGACGAGGGGTACTCGGCCCGGGGCCCGAACTGCTAGGCAGTGGGGGACAGGGTCCCGGGCGGGGCCAGGGCTCCTGAGTCACACCTCCTCTCTGAACCTGTTCCCTATTTCCCCGCAGTGGTTAAGGGGAAGGGTAAATAAGCGTGGAGGGGCGTAAGTTCTTTAAAATGTGGGAAAGTATAGGCTGTAGAGCAATTGGTTCTTCCCAAAACATGTTTGGAGGGAATTTTACAACTCAAATGTTTGGGAGGGGATGCTGGGTTAAACACCATATTTACTGATTACAGAACTTCTTAGAGCCTTTAATGTTAACAGAGACCGCGAACTAAAAGCCAGACAGCAGGCAGCGTTGGCCCACCTGTTTATAGACTCCTTTTCCTGTGAAGTATTTACACTAGTGCCCCCTAGATGGGCGCAGAGGAAGGGCAGCATTTCCCAGGGTGTGAACTGCCTTGGTAGAAAGCGCGAAATTACCTTAGGACAGGTGGGGAAGGACCTTGGGGGTCCCCACAGAGGCAGCAGTAACAACACTGAAAGCCCCCTGTGAGCAAGGTTTCATCCTCGTCAAATCTCTCTTGTGAAGTTGGTCTCCATATGGTACTAATGGGTCCTTAACACTGCCCACTAATGCTTGCTAATGTCCCTTTGCAATTTTCTTTCCCTTGTATTAATTTTTATGGTTACATGAGTTGATTTATATCTTTTATAAATAAAATTCTCCTGTGACGTGTGAATCAGGCATGGGGTAAAACCATACTGCTCAGGAATGGCCCGATGCAGGATGGTAGATGAAGGCGTGGGCTGAGATGCCCGCTCTGGAGCCAGGCGCACTGGGATTCAAGCCCTGGCTTTGTTCTTGATTTCTGTGCAACATTTTCTCTGCTTCAGTTTCCTTTCTAGGTGAATTGATGCCGCAAAGGGAAATCAGTGAGCCAACCGGCATTCGCCAGTGAGCCCCGCACCAGACAGATGAGAGTCCTTGATAAGCATCACTGCTGGAGTTACTCCACAGAAGGTGTTCTGGGAACTTCTCCCCAGATACTGGGAAGCAGTGGGGAGAACAAGAGAGACTCGCAGAGACCTGAGTTCTAGTCCCAGCACCCCCAGAAGTGAGCTTACCTGGACAAGCCTTCTCCAGGGCTGCTTCCCACTGTGCCCCTGGATCCCAGCCCAGAGTCGACACCAGGCAACTTTTACTTCAGTGAATAACAGACTCCAGTGCCCCATCTGGGTAAGTGCAGGAGGGGGAGGCAGGGCTTCCCCACATGCTGGCCAAGGCCCGTGGGGATCCCATCCAGACCCACTTAGGGTCAGTCTGTTGAGGCGGTATCAGTCCATTTTCTCCTCGTTTTCTAACTGTTGGGCAACTTGCAAGTCTCCGTACTGACATCATGATCTTTCCCTCTTCAAACTTACTCCCAGCCTGCTTGTCAGAGGACTGTGTCCGCAGCCAGCCAAAAACCTGAGTCACCCTTGTCCTTATCTTCCCTTCTCCCCTACATCCACCCCCACCATGCCTTATTGGTTTTACCTCCCTTTTCTTCCAATCCCTCTGCTGTTCTCCATCTCCACTGCCACCCTGGCCCAGCCACCATCACATCTGCAGCCCGAGACACTTGTTGGTTTCCACTGGCCTTTCTGGCCTGCCTTCAATCCACACAGCAGCCAGAGTGGTCACCTTAGAGTACACCTCATCACAGTAAGCCACTTGGCCTTTGCACATGCTGGGTCCCTTCATCCCCCTCTGTGTTCCTTCTTCCTCTTTCTACTTGGTTAACTGCAGCTCATTCAGACTCAGCTCAAGTGTCACCTCCTTCAGGAAGCTCTCCCAGATTTTCCTGACTAGGTCAGATTCTCTAATACAGCCTCTTGTAAATGTGTATTTATTTCTCTGGCTGCTTGATCGATGTCATCTCAGACTATGATCAACTTGAGGACAGAGCCATGTCTGCCTCACTCACCATTGTTCACCCACACCAAGCAGAGTGCCTGGTACTTGGTAGGTGCCCGATAGCCATTGTTGAGTTAATAAATATTCAGTGAAGGGATGAGTGAGGCACTACAGTTAATTCCAAACCACAGATAACCCAAGGTGGTTTGTATGAGACATAGAACTAGACCCAAGATTTGGGCTTCCACACCCCAGACCCAGGCTTTAACAGGGTGGGGAGCTGCCTGCCTGGGTACAGGAATAAGAGGTCAGTCAAGAACAGCTTCTTCCCAGGAATAGGGACACGCAGCTCGAAGACTCAACCACCAGGTGGCGAAGTGACTCTGCCCACAGGGGCTGCTGGATCCAGGGGCCCCAGTTGCCACACTGGAGGTTGTCAAACTTCGGGGGCGGGGCCACAGACTCCCCTGAGAATCAGAAGTGTTCATGAGCCTCTGGCTAGAAAAACATGCTGGCGTGATCCAGGTTTTGTGGGGCCTGAGACTTATACAGCTTGGGGGGCCTATCTATGAAACTAACATACAATTATGAACTCAAAATTAGGTGCAGGGCCTTAGAAGGGGTTGGAGCAAGTGAGGGGCCCTGAAGCTCATTAGCACATGGACCTCCTGGTAAACCCACACACACACACACGCACTACTCTCTACATTTTCAGAGACCCCCCTCACACCTGTCTTATAGTCCCCCACCCACGCTCAGCACAGACACGCTGGTCTGAGTGTTCCAGCCAAGGTGAAGGGCCACCGGCTAGTCCTGGACTCGAGAAGCAGGAGCTGTGGCAAGCCCAGCCTGGCACCACACTGCCCTGCTGCAGGCACAGGGGTTCACTCCACCCCTAAGCTCCCCCACTTTTGCTGAATGGGTTTGGGGGGCCAGAAGGGGCCATTGGCCAGAGCTTATGTGTGGCTTACCTCCAAATGAGGTGATTCACATCATCACTGAAACTCGGGCTGGGAGGCTCACAGGCCAAGTTCTCTGATGCGTGAGGAAGGCCTGGGGCGGCAGAGGGAGCCGGTGCCCTGAGGGTGGTATCTGCTGCCTGGGCAGAACTGGAGGGGCTGGGATGAGTCCCGGGGCAGTGGTGACTGGGGTTCTTGCCTAGGAAGGGGATCTGGAAGCTGGGCAGAGGTGGGAGCCAGGGAGGCAGATGCAGGATTCCTGGCCCCAGGGTCCGGCTACCCCTCCAGAGCTCCTCCCAGAGGGGGCAGGGGCTCCCGGGACCCCAGCTGCCTAGTGCTCAACATCACGGAGTTAGGTATTCTCAGAAGCCAGGACTAGGCTAATTATTATTCCCCAGATGAGGAAACTGAGGCTCAGAGAGGCCACATGCTCCTTAAGTGATGGGGGTAGGATTTGAACCCAGGTGGGTGGTCTCTGCTCACCTATGACACTGACATTTCCATGAATGAATAAACGAACAAATGAACGAATGAATGAATGAGTAAAAGTAGCAAAGGCCCAGAGAGGCTAAGTAATATGGTAAAGGACACACAGGACCAGACTCTGTCCAATGCTCTTCCAAGCTAGTGCAGCCCACTGAGGGGTGAGGAAGATGGTGAGGGGTAAAGGGGCCCCCGGCACCAGGCCTCCCCCAACCCCTGCTGGCCCACCCACTAGTCCTGCCTGGGTGGCTTACCCCGGAACTCTTCGTCAGTCAGTCGCTTCTTGTGGGTCAGCAGGAAGGGGAGCAGCCCATCCAGATCAGCAGTGGAGCCCCGGGACACGATGTCAAAGAGGATAGGCCGGTTGAAGACTTTGAGGATGGGGGGTGGCTGGGGCGCAGGAGCTTTGGGGCCCTGTGGCTGCTTCCTGGAGTGGGGAGCATGGGGTGGAGGGCTCGTCCACTGCTGCCTGGTCACCTCTGGCCTTAGAGGCTGGGGGTAGCTGAGCCCTGGGGAGGGGGCAGACTAAGGGGGAGGGACAGCTGGAAACACCACGGAATGTTCACCCCAGTAACTACTTAGTACCTACTGTGTGTCAGGTGGAAACAGAAAGAAACACACAAACCCACCTATTCTTCTACCCACCCACCTATCCATTCACCTACCTGCCCACCCATCTACCCACCCACTGAACCATCCATCCATCCACCCATCCTCCCATCTCTCATTTATTGAGTACTTACCAAGCCAGAGGCTGAAAGAGATAAATATAGTGAGAAAATTAAGGGGGAACACCAGACAAAAAGATAGAGCGACTCATTCATTGATTCAGCCATTCACTCATTGAGTTATTCATTCAACAAACATCTGAGGCAAATGAGCCCATGCACATAGGTGCTCAGTTCAAGGCCTGCCACACACTAAACAATAAGTGTTAGCTGATGTTACCATTAATATTTAGCACCTACTGTGTGTCCAGAGCCTGTATATGTATGGGAGAGATGCTGAGCTACACAGGGCAGGTGGAGAAAGGACCGGAACAGAGAGCGCCGGGCAAGGGGAAGTGGTGAGGAGAAAGGAAAAAAGCACACATTCATTCAGTCATTCACAAACATTAACTGGGCACCTACTGTGTGCTAGGTTTTGAGAGACAGAGCTGGGAGCAGCACTAGCCCAGGGGGCACCACGAGGGCAGGATCTTCTGTGTCACATCTGCTCCCTCTGTGCTGGGCACACATGGGGTGCAGTAAGAATCTGTGAAATGAACAAGAACAGCGGGGAGAAGGCGGAGGCGGAGACAGAGGCTGGGAGAAGAGAGAGGAGCCGTGACAGAGAGAAGGCAGGGCCAGGGGGAGGAGAGACTGAGGCCCTGCGGATGGCGGGGCACAGAAAGTGGGCAGCTGCTCTCCCACCTTCCCTCGAGGCAGGGCCTCCAGTGATGGGGCACCAGGGAAGGGGGACAAGGTCCTCCCAGACCATGGGGGCCCGGAGACTGGTACTGCCCCTACTGAGGGCACCTGAGCAGCACCCATTTGATCTGCTCCTGAAATTTTACCTTTGAGCCAACCTATGAAGTGCAAAGAACCCCCTCACCCCCAGACCTCACTGAGCTGGCCTTTGGGGTCTCTGGACCCCTCAGTCACACCCTAGTACTTCCATGGCCCCTCCAAAGCCATTAGTCTGACTGGGCTAAGGATATGGTGAGGGCTTGAAGGAAGGGGTCCTGAGGGAGGGGAAAGGGGACATGGAGCACACCAGCTTCCAATGGGACACTGGGCCACGTTGATGCCTTGGGTCCATTTGTGCCTCTGAGCAGAAGTGGTGCAGATAGGCCAGTAGCATGTGGGCTGCGAGGCCATGTTCCCTGGACACGTTGAGCCTCTCCACCCCCAGACCCTTGTTCATGCACTTCCCTCCACCTCCCCCTCTCTCCACCTGTCCTGCCTTAGCTCTGGGCTGACACGTGGGCTCCTACAAGCCCTTCCGGACCGGAGGGCCACCTTTCCCGTTTCAGCAGCTCCCCTCTCCCCGCTCAGTACCTTCCCCGACTCAAACCTTCTATTCATATGCTTCTTTGCTTCCTTGTTACCTGTCTCACTCTCCAAACTGAAGGTGGAAGTGAAGGCTACTCAGGGCCTGAACTGACAGGGGCCATACCCAGCCCAGCTCACTGCTGGAGCCCCAGGGCCAGCCTCAGTGCCTGGCATGCGGTGGGCGCTCAAGAAACAGTCACTAACTGAATCACTGTCTCAGTGAATGAATAAAGGGGAGCGCTCCTGACCAAGCAAGGGCTGGGAGGCGAGTGAGCTCCATCCAGGGGTGTCAATGAGTCTGTGATCGGCAAGGGGACAGACAAGAGCAGGCCACGACAGGACGTCTCCAGGCTTCAAGACTGTTCCCCACATGCACACAGAGGCCCGAGAGGGGTTCCTCGGGGGATAGCTGGACAGCCAGATGGCAGATGGACAGATGGGTAGGTAGATATTTGAATGAGGGCTGATAGATGGGTGCACTGGACAAATGGATGGACAGGTAGAAAGATGAGTAGCTGGACAAATGGCTGAGTAACTGATGAAGGAAAGAATGGAGGCAAGGGGCTGGTTTCCTTATCTGGGTCGATCCAGGGCACGTTAGCAACAGGGCCCAGTCCTAGGAAGGGTCATAAACTTCACTAGTTCAGCAAGAGCAGAGACCAGGGGCAGAGGGGACCATGTGGCTATAAGCCCCACCTCCTTCTCTAAACTGCCAAAAGTACGGGAAGTCCCTGGGCTCCCTTAGGGACTAGGAAGGGGGCTCAACCGCATAAGCAGGAGGTCCACAAGAGACAGACACCAGGGTCATGGTGGACACGGAACTCTGTGGGGCCGGGGCTTGCCCACACCGGCCACAAGAAGAGGCTGGGCAGTGGGCTGTGAGTCTGCAGGCCTGGCTGCAGGACTCAGCTCAGCAGAACCCGCCGCGGGAGGATGAGGCCCAGACAAGGCAACGTGGGGAGTTGGAGGCTCCCTGTCCCCAGCTGGGCCTGGCCTGGGGCATCACTGAGGATGGCCATGTGCGGTTGCCCACCCACAGGCTTCTCTTTACTCTCCTTCTCTTCTTTCAGCCAGGCCTCCTTCCTGGCAGAGAAAGGAGAATGGAGCTGGTGCTCTGAACTCACCCAAAGCCCCAGGAAAGCCACTGGATGCCCAGGAATGAAGCTGATGCTTGGAGAAGGCCCAGGACGGGCAGCAGGAGAAGGTAGAGGGATAGATGGTTGTAGATGGTCAAATGGGTGAGAAGATGAGTGAATGAGTCAGGACTCAGCAAATGAATGAATGAATGAACAAATGAGTGGACAGGTGGCTGGGTGAGTGTACATTGGTAGGAAGGAAGAAAGGGGGGTGGGAGGGAGAGAGGGAGGGAGGAAGAAACGAGGGAAGGGGAGAGCATTAGAAATGAATGAATCACTTATGAACAGCCTGATAGATAGCTGCCTGGCTAGATGAAAATAAATAGTGGGTAGACAAGAGAACGGATGGACGCTCAGATGAGTAAACAGTGGATGAATAGAGAGTTGGTTGTATGGGTAGATAGCTGGACAGATAGATGACAGACGGACAGATGGTAGATAGATATTTCAATGAGTGGATAATGGATGGACGGATTGGACAAGTGGATGGTCAGGTGGGAAGATAAGTAGCTGGATGAATGAGTGAGATGATGGAGGGATGGAGGGATGGATGGTGAGCAACAAGTACATGGAAATGTGGACAGGTGAGTAGACTGGTAGGTGGATGGATGGATGGGTTCAACACAGAAGAGGACACTGTTGGCCAATCAGCCAGAAATACTCACTCTATGACCTTCTTCCTCCACCGCTTGTTGTCACTGGGGTGGTGACGATAGGTGCCATAGTCAAAGAGGGAGTCCATGGGGGCCTTCTTAGGCCCAGGTACCACTGAGGACTCGTACAAGGTGGACTCCAGCAGGTCGATGGGGTTGGGCACCCCCTTGCGGAAGGCGCCCTGGAACTTCATGCGCAAGTTTGGCCGCCCATCACCTGGGCCGGCAGGGCGCCCAGGATCAGCTGGTGATGGCGAGGGGGAGCCATCGTCCCCCTCAAACAGGTTGGCCAGCGAAGAGAGGGGGAAAGCTTCCCCACCAGGGGTGCCACTCTCATCCCCGGGGGGCTCAGCCACCTCCCCAGGCCCCGTGAGACTGGTACTGCCCCTACTGAGGGCACCTGAGCAGCACCCATTTGATCTGCTCCTGAAATTTTACCTTTGAGCCAACCTATGAAGTGCAAAGAACCCCCTCACCCCCAGACCTCACTGAGCTGGCCTTTGAGGTCTCTGGACCCCTCAGTCACACCCTAGTACTTCCATGGCCCCTCCAAAGCCATTAGTCTGACTGGGCTAAGGATATGGTGAGGGCTTGAAGGAAGGGGTCCTGAGGGAGGGGAAAGGGGACATGGAGCACACCAGCTTCCAATGGGACACTGGGCCACGTTGATGCCTTGGGTCCATTTGTGCCTCTGAGCAGACGTGGTGCAGATAGGCCAGTAGCATGTGGGCTGCGAGGCCATGTTCCCTGGATACGTTGAGCCTCTCCACCCCCGGACCCTTGTTCATGCACTTCCCTCCACCTCCCCCTCCCTCCACCTGTCCTGCCTTAGCTCTGGGCTGACACGTGGGCTCCTACAAGCCCTTCCGGACCGGAGGGCCACCTTTCCCGTTTCAGCAGCTCCCCTCTCCCCGCTCAGTACCTTCCCCGACTCAAACCTTCTATTCATATGCTTCTTTGCTTCCTTGTTACCTGTCTCACTCTCCTAACTGAAGGTGGAAGTGAAGGCTACTCAGGGCCTGAACTGACAGGGGCCATACCCAGCCCAGCTCACTGCTGGAGCCCCAGGGCCAGCCTCAGTGCCTGGCATGCGGTGGGCGCTCAAGAAACAGTCACTAACTGAATCACTGTCTCAGTGAATGAATAAAGGGGAGCGCTCCTGACCAAGCAAGGGCTGGGAGGCGAGTGAGCTCCATCCAGGGGTGTCAATGAGTCTGTGATCGGCAAGGGGACAGACAAGAGCAGGCCACGACAGGACGTCTCCAGGCTTCAAGACTGTTCCCCACATGCACACAGAGGCCCGAGAGGGGTTCCTCGGGGGATAGCTGGACAGCCAGATGGCAGATGGACAGATGGGTAGGTAGATATTTGAATGAGGGCTGATAGATGGGTGCACTGGACAAATGGATGGACAGGTAGAAAGATGAGTAGCTGGACAAATGGCTGAGTAACTGATGAAGGAAAGAATGGAGGCAAGGGGCTGGTTTCCTTATCTGGGTCGATCCAGGGCACGTTAGCAACAGGGCCCAGTCCTAGGAAGGGTCATAAACTTCACTAGTTCAGCAGGAGCAGAGACCAGGGGCAGAGGGGACCATGTGGCTATAAGCCCCACCTCCTTCTCTAAACTGCCAAAAGTACGGGAAGTCCCTGGGCTCCCTTAGGGACTAGGAAGGGGGCTCAACCGCATAAGCAGGAGGTCCACAAGAGACAGACACCAGGGTCATGGTGGACACGGAACTCTGTGGGGCCGGGGCTTGCCCACACCGGCCACAAGAAGAGGCTGGGCAGTGGGCTGTGAGTCTGCAGGCCTGGCTGCAGGACTCAGCTCAGCAGAACCCGCCGCGGGAGGATGAGGCCCAGACAAGGCAACGTGAGGAGTTGGAGGCTCCCTGTCCCCAGCTGGGCCTGGCCTGGGGCATCACTGAGGATGGCCATGTGCGGTTGCCCACCCACAGGCTTCTCTTTACTCTCCTTCTCTTCTTTCAGCCAGGCCTCCTTCCTGGCAGAGAAAGGAGAATGGAGCTGGTGCTCTGAACTCACCCAAAGCCCCAGGAAAGCCACTGGATGCCCAGGAATGAAGCTGATGCTTGGAGAAGGCCCAGGACGGGCAGCAGGAGAAGGTAGAGGGATAGATGGTTGTAGATGGTCAAATGGGTGAGAAGATGAGTGAATGAGTCAGGACTCAGCAAATGAATGAATGAATGAACAAATGAGTGGACAGGTGGCTGGGTGAGTGTACATTGATAGGAAGGAAGAAAGGGGGGTGGGAGGGAGAGAGGGAGGGAGGAAGAAACGAGGGAAGGGGAGAGCATTAGAAATGAATGAATCACTTATGAACAGCCTGATAGATAGCTGCCTGGCTAGATGAAAATAAATAGTGGGTAGACAAGAGAACGGATGGACGCTCAGATGAGTAAACAGTGGATGAATAGAGAGTTGGTTGTATGGGTAGATAGCTGGACAGATAGATGACAGACGGACAGATGGTAGATAGATATTTCAATGAGTGGATAATGGATGGACGGATTGGACAAGTGGATGGTCAGGTGGGAAGATAAGTAGCTGGATGAATGAGTGAGATGATGGAGGGATGGAGGGATGGATGGTGAGCAACAAGTACATGGAAATGTGGACAGGTGAGTAGACTGGTAGGTGGATGGATGGATGGGTTCAACACAGAAGAGGACACTGTTGGCCAATCAGCCAGAAATACTCACTCTATGACCTTCTTCCTCCACCGCTTGTTGTCACTGGGGTGGTGACGATAGGTGCCATAGTCAAAGAGGGAGTCCATGGGGGCCTTCTTAGGCCCAGGTACCACTGAGGACTCGTACAAGGTAGACTCCAGCAGGTCGATGGGGTTGGGCACCCCCTTGCGGAAGGCGCCCTGGAACTTCATGCGCAAGTTTGGCCGCCCATCACCTGGGCCGGCAGGGCGCCCAGGATCAGCTGGTGAGGGCGAGGGGGAGCCATCGTCCCCCTCAAACAGGTTGGCCAGCGAAGAGAGGGGGAAAGCTTCCCCACCAGGGGTGCCACTCTCATCCCCGGGGGGCTCAGCCACCTCCCCAGGCCCCGCGCGGGGGCCTTCGCTGGGATCCGCCATGCTGACCCTGGGCCCGTCTGCACTGCCTGGCCTGCAAAGGAACAGGGAGGGGAGTCAGGCCGCGCCTGCCAGTGGTGGAGCCTCCAGGAAGCCCCCTCCCACGTGGGTAAACAGCCCCACAGCCAGCTGCTTCAAAGCCACCGTTGTAGTAACAGGAGTGTGGGGTGGCTACTCCCAGATGTGCTGGCTGCCTGCCCCGGGCAGGGGCTGCAATAACAGCCTCTTTCAGAGACCTGGGAACGTGAGTTTAGGTTCAGCTACCCTGGGCATTAGCTGGAGAAGGATAACCTCCTGGAAACCCAAACCTGGAGCCTGACCAATGCAACCAGCTTCAGGGCCCCAAGAGCAGGGCTCAAATCCAGGCTCCACATCAGCAACTGTGTGACGTTGGGCAAGTCAACATTTCACAGCCTCCGCCATACAAGTGGGAATGTGGAAGCCAAGAGCACGTGTCCCACTGCAGGCCACGCAGTGCCTGATGCACAGAGAGCACCTACTGAACAGAACCATTAAGTGCACACTTTGGGCATAGTACATGCTCAGAAAATATGTGTGAACCCACATGGAGCCAGGAGTCCCCATTTTCCTCATCTAGCACCATGATGGACCCCATTTTACAGGAAGGAAAACAAGGTTCCAAGACTTGCTCTGACCCCCTGTAGTGCCAAGACTCTGCTCCCCAGTGTCAAGTGCTAGTCCCTTCCCTCCCCCTTGGCCTGGCTGACCACCCACCTGCATTCTCAGCTCAATGGTCCCTTCTTCCAGGAAGCCCTCCTGACCATTTGTCCACGGGAGTACTTAATTCCTGGGCTGTGGGCTCCAGGAGGCCGGATGCAGCTGTCTCATTCACACTTGCATCCCCAGCACCCAGAAGGGCACCACATGGACAAACGACCTCATGATGAAGGTGTTACTTGTTCCCACTTCTCAGATGAAGAAACTGGAGTTTTTCTTAAAGCAGTCACAGAGCTCAGAGGATTTGAGCCCAGGCCTCTCTGGCTGCAGGATCAATGTCTACCCAGGAGCACAGGCCAATGCTGGTAGCCCCCCTGCCCTCTGTAGCACACTGCTGGGGGGAGAAGGCAAGTTTCCTGGAACTCCTACCGTTCCACCCAAGCTGCAGGGAGATGCCTGAGAAGCCTGCTTTTCTGTCTCTCCCTCCCTGCCTGGCACATGAGCAGAGAAACAAACAGAGACTTCCCGCTTTGTTTGTTTTGTGGCTGCCAGGAGGAAGGCTAGGGCCAGAGAGGTGGAGGTCCTGTAAGAGGCCTCTCTTGGTGGGCTCAGCAGGGCACAGGGTCAGAGCTCCTGCTGGGGACCAGCCCCACTCTGGGCCCCAGTGGGAAGAGAAAGCCTGGACTTTACAGTCATTCAGGCCTGGGTTCAAACCCCAGTTCTGCTATTTACATGCAGTGTGACCGTGGGGAAGTCACTTTAGCTAGCTACCCAGCCTCAGTTTCCTTGCTGTAAAATGGGCACAATTGCAGCAGCTTTTATCATAGGTTTTCTGGAAGAGTTAAATGGGGTCAGGCACGTCCAGTGCCAATGCTGGAATTAAATTGGGAGCTGTCAATGATTACAATCAAAGGAGGAGGGGTTAGGAGCACAGATTCTGAAGTCAGATATACATGGTTGCTGTCTTGGCCCAGTAAGTAGCAGCTGTGTGATCTTGGGCAAATCACTTCCTCTCTCTGGGTCTTTGTTTCTCCACCTGTAAGACCGGGGTGACTCCACCTCCTCCCAGAGTTCTTGAGACCTCAGTGACCTCAGGAATTTGCAGCACTCACTCAGTGCTGACACCCAGTAGGACCTCAGGAGACTTTAGTCCCTGTCCACCTGCCAGTGGGGAGAGAGGACCTGGGCCCTCCACCCCCAAGGATGCCACATGACTGTGGGCTTTGTTCTGCAGGGATGAGGGCACGTGGAGGCAGGGAGGGTTTTCCACCGGGATGCAGGCAGTGAGTGGGAAGGTTAGGCTTCCCGGAGCACACTGGGGACCCAGGGTTGGGGAGAGGAGGCATTTGAACATGTGCCTCTGCTGTCAACGCCCCCCTGATCTTCACACCCCTTCCCAAGGTCCCCCTCACCCCCTGGACCAGGGCCCAATGGACACCCCTGCCTCAGGAAGCTCCAAAGGCTGGACGAGGCAGTTGGGAGGGGAGGGCCCCCCGGCCCCCCCGCCCTCTACCATGCCTGCAAACCCCTCCCCGAAGGAACCCCAATCCAGACAGCATCTGGGATTTGGGGGTCTCCAGAGCAGGAGGTCTGAGGTTAGCCAGCCTCTCTCAGCCATTCACTCACTGCTCACAGCTTTGGGCAAGGCACACAGTGATCATTACTGACATTTGAATGGTGATGAAATACTAATTATGAAAGTAACCCCCATCGACATGGTGGCAAGGTTGCGCACTCTGTGCCAAGCGCCAGCCTGAGTGTTCTGCACGTGTGCTCTCAGCCGATCCCCACTGCAGCCCAGACTGGGGCTCAGCCAGGGGCCGTCTGCTCCCAGGGCCACTTGGCCACAGCTGGAGACATTTTGGTTCTCACACTGTGCAGAAGAGAGAGCGCTCCTGGCATCTAGTGGGTCAAGGCCAGGAAGGCTGCTGAACACCTTGCAGTGTGCAGGGCAGCCCCCGCTGCAAGGAACGGTCCAGCCCCAAATGCCAACAGTGCTGACATGGTGAAACCCTGCCCAGGAAATCGGTATTGCCATAACTCCCATTTTACAGATGAAGAAACTGAGGCTCCGAGAGGTTAAGTGACTTGCCTGAGGTCACACAGCATGTCAGCGACTGAGTCAGGATTTAAATCTGGGCAGTTGGCTAGACACGGCCTGGGGCCCTCCCTGAACCCTTCCAGGGTCTTGTTCAAGCTGCACAACAGCCCTGGGAGGTGAGGATTATTACTACCAGCCCATGCTAATCTCTCTGAGCCTCAGTTTCCCTACTTGCAAAATGAGGGTTGCAGCACAGTTTCAGTCCTGCAGGGCCTCTGTGACATGAGGCAGATCAGGGGCCCTTGGGCACCTCGTAGGCACTTGGTAAATGCTTCGTGGGCATCAGCACTGCGATGACCCAGTGCCCATTCACCTGTCCTCACCGCCTCCCCACGCACACGCGGGCAGCACTACAGCCAGGCCGTCTAGGCCCAGGCTGCAACTCACTACGTCCTTCCCAGCCTCTCCCTCGGTGAACCCCCAGAGCCTGGCGAGCCAAGCTGGGCCACTGGTCCCGCTTTACAACTGAGGAAACTGCGGCGCACAGAGGCCACCCAGGGAGCGCCCGGCCATGGACCTCCAAGCCCGGACGCCTCTCACACTACCCCATCCAAGCCCGTGTGCACACTGTGTGCATGTACACGTGCACAAGTGTAAACACACACACACACCCAGGGAGCGAACGGCCATGGACCCCCAGGCCTGGACTCCTCTCACACTACACCATCCAAGCCCTCTCACACTACACCATCCAAGCATGTACACACATGCACACATGAAAACACACACACACAGGGCCTGCCCTGGGGCAGTTCCTCCCCAAACACTGCCCAGTCATCTGCGGTCGGGCAAAGAGTTCACTCCCTGTTCTCATTTGCCCTGTAGGCTGTTATTACACAGTCCAAACCCAAGCCAGGCAAGGGGGAAGGCGGGCTGCAGGCGGGGAGAGAGGCCCAGAGTCCTCACGCGTCTCCTCTGCGGGTCGATGCCATGGGAGCTTATCTGTGTCTTTCCCCGTGTGTGCGTGTGCCTCTTTGACCCACGGGGGCTCCCCTCCACCAGGAGTGCCCTCGTAGTAGGTGGCACCCAGCTGACACCAGGGCACTGGGACTCACCCAAGGGAGCTTACGCCTGAGTGTGAATCTCCCCACACTGTACCACCACCGCGTTCATTTAAGACGGTGGATTTCAAACGTTTTTATTTTAAGCATCCTAACCCTTTTTTAAAAATACATATACCAGACTGTAGTCCACACACAGTAGCTGTGACAGGATGGACAAGGAGGGGAATCTGAGTCTCAGGGCCCGAGGAGCAGGATTGGAAACCACTCATCTATACACGTACTCAATGAGTATTTATTGAGCACCTACTACGTGCCAGATATGAACAAAACAGAAAAATCCTGCCCACCTGCGGCTGCCCTTCTGGTGGGGAAACTGAGTAAATGAACAGCTAGACAAAGAGGCAGGGTGGTGTCTGGTGGTGGTGAGAGCTGTGTAGACCAGAAGGGCTCAGGAGTGGCTGATTCAGGGGTGAAAGGTCCTGAGCAGGGCGCGGAGATGGGGCTCAAGCCGGGAACCCCCAAGCTTCCTCTCTGCCCTGAAAGAGGCTCCAGGCTTGCCAGGAACACTGTTCAAAGTCCTGCGTCTGCTCCATTGGCCCCTGGGGACGCAGTCGGGCAGCCAAAACCCCTCTCTCCCCGGAGGAGGGGCACCTGGAGGGAGAGAGGGGCACGGACAGAGTGTGCATTTTGACGTCAGACAGATCGGGTCAGCAGCTAGACCCACCGCTCATTAGCTGGGGGAGCTTATGCAAGTTACTTAGCCCTGCTTGCTTTCCTCACCTGCCCCTGGGGACCTTAATTGCGTCGTTGTAACAGTTATGTAAGTTGATTCAAGCACCTGCACAGAGTAAGCCTTCAATAAACAGTACGACTAAGTGCTGGGCAGGCACCTGCTCCCCCGGGAGTCCTAATTCAAAGGGGCTGGAGGCCTTCTCTCCGTCCTCATGCCCCCCCGCAGAGGGTGGAAGGAGGGGCCCATCCTCACCTTTACCCCCGCGGCTTTGCTTGACCTCATGAAAACCCTGGCACATATTTGTCAAATCCCATCCTCCTGATTACATGACCGAGGAAAGCTGCTTAAATCTGGGGGCAAGTTTGGGCTTGCAGGACTACTCACCCCAGATGGGAGACTTCCACGGAGCTGGTGGCTCCCCATTCCCCCCATCCTGGGATCGCTTCACTCCAAAAAACACTCACTGAGTGCCACCTGTTTGCAGGGCACCCGGGGGAAGCATAAAAGAGTGGAACCTC